CCCCCACAAACCCCAGGCTGCCCCTGGGAGCGATGCCCAAAAACTCTGACAGCCTTGGGAAYGTGAGCATTCCCTGGTTCCAGTGCTCAACCACCCCCTGGCACAAAAACCTTCTCCCAATATCCCAGTTACCCRAATTTCCTGGAAATACAGCCCAGGAACAGCCTTGGCTGTGCTCAGTGCGTTCCCTACAAGTCCCCAGAACACGATGCACACGTCCAGATTCCCCTTTTCATTTCAAACCAGGGGCTGTGCCTTGGTTCTGTAGGAAACCACAYTGGATTCCTTTTAAATTAACAAATATTGTGCCTTTAACACCAGCAATATCAGTTCATTGCTCTGTAACAGCTGAAATAATCCAGAGATTCGTGCACACGGAGCAGACAGAAATCCACCAGCATCGTGTGCATTCCTGCTGCGAATCCACAGATTTTATCATCCTGACATTGCAAACTTTTTCCATCACAATCTCAGCAAGTCTTTTAAAAAAATAGACATAAATGGGAAGCCAAAAACTCAGGTTCAGGACCGTGCTGGTTTGAGCACTTGAACACCATTGAAATTTGTGTTGCTTACCATTTCTACGATATTTACTACTCACAGCTGGTGGTTGCAAAGAACTTGGGAATTCAGAATAAAAAAGTGAGGAATTTCTGGTATATATACCAGAACTGAAGAATTTCTGGTATATATATATACCCACAAACCGAATTAAACCACACAATGGGATTTCTTCCAAAAAACCCTGAGCATCTTCCACAAACAAAACGCAGCAGAACACCTKTCCTAGGTTAGCTGAGTATTGTATTCCTATCATCTGCTTATGTYAGAGGAAAGTTAAACAACCCTTCTGTAACTATACATGATAGTCGAGACTGCTCTGGTTTGCTTGGTGATGTTCCTCTCTTCAAGGACAATGGGAGGGAAAGGGACAAGACACAGACACGTTTTTTTTTTTCTCTCCCCGGAGGCTCTCGAGATCAGGGGCGGAAAAGAAGCTGCCTGCTCTCTGGGACTGCTCCTTTTTTTTCTCCCTTTCTTTGGACTTGTTTTTTTTCCTCGAATTTTTTTCTTCTTCATCATCTGAGAATTGGAAGATTCTTGTGGCATGACAGGCGAGAAAGATCCTTCAGTGAACCACCGGAGAGAGAGAGACTCTGTCCAACCCCTTTGGGGGCCCCGGAGGGGAAGCCACTCCCAGGAGGGGAGAGAAAGGCTTTGGGATCAACAGCTGGCTCCACAGGGTTTTTTTTTTGTTTTTATAATTTTAAATAAATAGGKTTTTTTTCCTTTTCTTTTCACTTTCCTCTCTGTGGAAAAGTTTGTCTCTAGGACCCAGGTGGGGAAAGGAGAGAGGGGGAGGTTTGCTGAAACTTGGGAGTGTTTGCTCCCATTGAGTTCATTCAAACCACGACAACACCCCAACGCAAACCCTCAAACGCAAATTACCGCGTTCGTTTATTCCTCCCCGTTTGACTCACAGCGAATCCCGTAGATCATGAGCGGGTCCAGCTGCTTCTTGCCGTGCTTGCCCTGGCCCGAGAGGTTGGAGATGGCCTGGATTTCCCGGTGGAACAGGTARTCCAGCAGGGTGAGTGCCATTTTCTCGGCCGTGCGGCAGTTGGTGCTGATGTGCAGCATGTCAGCCGGCGTGATGGGGCAGCGCACGCGCATCTCGGGGTTGTTCTCGTCGCCCAGCCATGTCCCGTTGGGGTAATCCTCTGCAAATACATGGGGATAGGATCAGCAGAGCAGCCTTGGGGTATATAAACACCATTGCTCTGATCTTGGTTTGTTGGAGTGTGGGAGCACCCAGTCCAGCACTGCGGGATCGTGACAGCGGCTGCGGGAGAGAGAAACCCCAAACTCGCCCCAACAGTGACCCAGAATGATTGTCCTTCACCTTCAGCTCACACAGGAACCGGACCAGCCAGCCCCAATGTCCAGCTCACCCTCAGAGATCTCTTTTCTTGAGAAAYCCCTCCAGTCCCAGGGCTCTCATCCCCTAAAAATGCAGGTTCCTGCAGCACTGGGGTGTTCCCAAAGTACAGCTTTAACTTCAAGCAGCCAAAAGCTTTGAACCATTTTTTCCCCCAAAACCATCCCATTAAAACGAGGCTAAATAAAATTACAGCTTTAAGAAATGATGATCAATACTGAGCAATAACTTGCTCATTCAAAAGGAGAGCACCAAGCAATGACAATCAATTAGGACATAGCCAGAGAGCCAATCAAAATTTTGGTCTTTCTTCAAATTATAACATTATATTCTAAATGTTACATTATTTTATGTTATATTTCTATATTTTATATATATTTATATTATATACATTCATACCAAGGAACAGGCCCAGCAGAAAGGTAATTAATCAATCACTAATCATCTTCCCTCGGATTCAAACATTAGGCCATCAGTAGCACAACCATACCCACCTACACACACACACTCTATATATTAAGAAACTTCTTTATTTCTTTCCCAGTTTCCTGGTTTTTCAGGAAAAAATAAAGGAATACTAGGGACTTAATAAAATAAAATAAATTAAATTCAAAGGAATGGACTTGAGTCAAAAGTGATGGACTCAAGACTACCCAGAACTGGATCAGAGCTCAGGATCAATCCCACTCAAGGGGAGGATGGAACACAGGACAGAGGATGAAATTCCCATTCCAGCTGAACCAAAGTGCCAGAATTCCTGCCAGTGTTGACAGAGCTGGGTAGAAAGCACTCCAGCAGCATTTCCATGAGCACTGACAGGGACCATTTGGATCTGATTTCCATGTTTGCTCTGCTCTGTGCAGTAAAACAAGGTTTGCTGACCTCGGGGTCACTCAGCCTTCCACAGAGTGCTCTGCAGGCATTTTTTGGGAGCACCAGTGAGTTACAGAACTTTGGTATCATCGATGATCTCACAGCAGAGCTTTATGGGATGGACACAGCCACTCATTCCTGCTTTCCATGCCCCTTCCAGCCCCAAGGAAGGTGACAGAGCTCAMACAGCACCTCCTGCTCACCCCGAGCAAGCATCTGCATCTCCACATCCTGCCCTGGGCTTTATCAGAGCACAGGCCAAAAGCAGAGAATGAAATACAGCACAAAAGCAACACTGAGAGGAGCTTTTCCAGGCTGACCTTTGGGCTGAGTCAGCCCAGATGGCAGGGGGAGTTTATGGCCCTGAGTAACGRCAGCATGAGGCAAACGTTGGATTGTGCAATCCTGATTCCTCACTGCACACTRCAGATTAGCAGGGACAGGGAATGCTTTGGGCTGCAGGGACATCAGGGACACCTTCCACTGTCCCAGGTTTTGGGACACTCCCAGGGATCCCAGCTCCTCTGGGAAATCCATCCCAGGGTCTCCCCACCTTCCCARGGAGGAATTTCTTCCTTATATTTAGTAATTCGCAAGGAAAATTATTCATTGCTGATGCATTTAGCAACTCATCCCTCAAACCTTTTTCTGCTGAAATCAGAACTTCATGCCCTGTTCYGAATATATTTTTATACACTTGCATGTGTTTATATATAATTTTTTTTTTTTTAATTTGATCCTTTCCTTTTCATCCTGAGCCAGAATAGGTCACAGTGGCTGCTTTCTGCTCCCAGCACCAGGTGCCATCTGAAAAATAAAGTGGTTTGGAGTGCTCATGCCTTGTTTTGCATGCCACAGTGTCTGGCCCAGCCACAAGTCTGGTTACCATTATCAGGGAAAACAACAGGCTGCTCCCCAAGATAAATGGAGCAGGGCACAAAAAATTTGGGCAGATGTGGCAAAGCACAAACAGCTCTGGATCAACGTGTACGTTCTGCAAAGAAATTCTAGGAAGGCTGAATAAATTACCCTGCAGCCTATCCCAGCTCAGCTCCTCACAGCTCCCAGGATTGCTGCTGGATTCAGGAATTCTGTTCTTTACCGAACACCTTCTGCCTGCAGAGTTTTTGAACAAACCTTGTTAACCTACATGAACCAAAGATTTTGTTCAATTTGTAAAATCCTCTCGTCTTTCTGCTGGCACACAGTCCAGAACATACTGTTTTTACCACATGCAACTGTTCTTTTATTGCTCCCAGCCTGGAAAAAAAGACATTATCTTGTTATTCTGACCTATGACCACAATCCCCCCACTAAATTATCTCTTGCCTTTTCCTCCTGCTTTCAAAGTTTCAACAGAAAGGGAATTTATTTTATAGTCGTTCTGCATTCAGCGTGACCGAAGTTAACTGTGAATCCACTGCCTCCCTGCAGCTCTGGGGGGGCACAAAAGCTGAATTATTCCTGATTTTGTATCAAAATCATTCCAACACGTTCTGGCTCTTTGCAGGCAGCGAACACAAGATTGGCACCCAAAAATCTGGTGGAAAGAAGAAATTCAGGGCCAGTTCTGAGTGAGGCAGAAACACTCAGAGCTCTGGTGTGGTGGGGAGAAGAGAATGGGTAAGGGAAGAGATCACACATTGGAAATTGGAATTCTCTCAAAACAATGAAATACATGAACATTATTGACTGACTGTGGATCAGTGGAGACTGCCAGCACTGAAACATCCTTTGATGCATTTGGAATGGTTCTTTGGGTGAATTATCAGATTTACAGGTGATATTTAGATGGAACCTGGAGCAGCCCCTGTGCCAGCCAGGCTCCAATCCCAGCATTGCACATCCATAGGCGGCTGCTCCTTAAGGAATTCCCAAAAATCAGGAACTGGGAGCTGGGGGGGAGGAGCAGAGACTGAGAACACCTTTCCCTCAGAAAAAGGGAAGCACAAATGCACACCCTCCTCTCAAGCTCAGCTCATCACACACCTCATTTCGCCCTGGTTTTCTTTCCTTCATTAATTGAGGAAGAACTTCATTGCCTGGAGGGTGCCCAGGGAGCCATTCCAGCCCCACCTGGTTGTGTTCCTGTGTCCCCTGCTCCCCTGCTCTGGATGAGCTCCAGAGCTCCTTCCAACCCAACCATTCCATGATTTTGTGAATCCTCCTGAGGGCCCTGCTGGACATGGAG